AAAAAAAAAAAGCAGAGATTGATTTTTCCCAGACCTTAAGAATACAGCTAAATATTATCTCTGTCATAAAGGAAATAGACAATCCAGAAGAAAAACCAGAAGAAGAGAAAGAAGAGGTTGTAGATGACCAGGAGAACTTGGCTCATAGCAGACGGGTGGGTACCTTCTAACATCCTTTTGCTCCTACTAACTCCTGCTCCCGCAGCAGGTGAACCCCTTTTATTCTCCTGAGTTTTTATCATCTTATTTCCTTGATGAGACACTGTCCACCTGTGGGTTACATTTTGGGCTTTTTCCAGAAAGTAGATTTCATTGTATTGTTTTGTTTTTTTCTATACACACAGACACAGAGTAGTTGTCTATAGTGAGTATTATCTAATGATGATCTTAACAAGAATTTCTGCTGTACTACTACTAACAGCCTGATTTCCAAAAAAAATTGGTTAAAACAAAGTATCTGTGTTCAGATTACTTTGCTCTGACTTCAGAATTTGCTATGTTCGTGTAAGTTTTGACATTTTTAAAAACCTTTTAGTCATGAATTAAATTATTTTATGCTGAAACCAATCATGTTTATTTCTGTCCTTGAGAAGAAATATTTTAGGGAGAGGAAGTTCAAGGAAAATTCTACTTGGCTGTTTTTGAACTCCAAGAATACAAAGAGAAATTGATTTTGATGGCTATTTTTCTTTTATATTAAAATGTTTCAAAATAGCTGACCTTTTCTGAAAAGTTCAAGTTTAACCTTGCCATCCTTCATAACTGCTTTTATTCTCAAACATTTAAAATGTAATATTTTTAATTTTCATCTTAAGTTTTCTAAATTATATGTGTCATCTTGTTGATAGTTAAATGAGTTTCTATAAATTTCCATTAGTAATACTTACGAAAAAGTTGTCCTTTCCTTTCCTGATTGAGGCTTACTTTTATCCAAATTAGTCTTCTTTCTTATTTTGTTTCTTAAGGAAGTCCTTGTTGGTGGTGGGTGCCATCAAGTCAGTTCCAACTCTTAGCAACCCCATGTGACAGAGTAGAACTGCCCCATTAAGTTTTCTTGGCTGTAATCTTTACCGAAGCAGATTGCCAGGTATTTTTCCTGTGAAGCTGCTAGGTGGGTTCGAACTGCCAGCCTTTTGGTTAACAGCCAGGCACTTAACTGTTTTGCCACCAGGGCTCCTTGAGGAGGTCCTTAGCTAATGCTGTTTCTTTTTAGACTCGGGAAGATAGGAAGGTTGAAGCCATCATGCATGCTTTTGAAAACTTAGAGAAAAGAAAGAAACGACGGGATCAGCCCTTGGAGCAAAGCAACTCTGACATAGAGGTTACTACCACCACCTCTGAGACTCCTGTGGTAGACGAGACAAAAACTGAAGCCCCTGAATCTGAAGTTGGCAACCCTGCTTCAAATGTTGCCATCCCAAGCACCCCACAGAGTGTTGGTGTGAACACCCGGAGGTCTTCCCAAGCAGGGGTAAGAGATGGAAAGACTCTGGGCCTTAGACATCCTTGTCTTTGCTAATGTCAATTTCCTATCTTTGAATGGTTAAAATGGGTATTTTCAGCATTGTCCAATGTCACAATAAATAAGACCATGCAAATTAGAGCCATCTTCAGCATTTGACTTGTGGAATTCAGGGAGATGGGTGACTGTGTTAGAATTTAAATGACTAGATACCTTCAGACTAGAGAGGAACTTCATACTGTTTTTGCCAGATAAACTGTTGGTGGTGAATTCATAGAAATTTTTAGATTCTCTGTTGGACCGTCCATATAGCACAGTTAAGTGCCTGGCCTTTCATAGCATTCTCTGGGTAAACTCAACTTTCCCTCCCTTACGCTAGCCATGAATCCAGGCTGTAAGCTAAAATCTCAGTATGTGGGAAAGAGAAACAAACCAACTCTCCTGAGTTCTCTTCCCTGCTATAAACCTTAAAATTAGATGGCCACCTTCAGCTGACTTTGGCCTGTTTTACAAATGCTTATTAGAAACAGAAATAACTAACCCAGACATCTGTCTAACTAAGCCTTTTTAGCTGACTTATTGTATGAATTTTTATCTTTAAGGAATAATTTTAAATTAGTGCTTCCAAATCCCCACCTTTTTCACCTGTAGACACTTAGAATGCTTACAGCGAATAAGAAAATGGATAAAACATTTTCTAATAAGAAATTTCTGGTAAGCTCTTGACTTGCTGTTGTTACAGGATGTTGCTGTAGAAAAACCAGTTCCTAAACCACCTCCAGCAAAGCCTTCTAGGCCCCGACCGAAGAGTCGAATTTCTCGGTACCGGACCAGTTCAGCCCAAAGACTAAAGCGTCAGAAGCAGGCCAGTGCACAGCAGGCAGAGTTGTCACAAACTGCCCTGGAAGAGGGAGGAAATAACAGCTTAGCAGCTCCTACTGAAGCTGGAAGTATAGACAATTTAGGAGAAAACAGGCAATTAACAGGGTCTGACCCAGCAGTGATATCAGTTGTTGGATCCCATGTCAACCGGGCTGCATCTAAGTACCCTAAAACCAAAAAGGTAAGTCACATCTTCGTAAGGTTGATCTGGCAAGGGATATGTCTTAGGAAAGTATGAGAACCTATAATCCTCAGGGCAGGTGGGAAGTCTCAGTATTATCAGATAGAAAATTCTAGATAAAATGTTCTGATGCAGAGGGCTGAAGCCATCCTACCTTTCTTTTGTTCTCTTAATTTTTAAGCAGAGCCTAAGTCACTGGTAGCTGAAATTATTCCTCTCTAAGTGGGCGTGGAGAGGATGAAGGAAGATATCCTTGTGTTCTAAATGCCCAGTTCATTCTCACTGCAGCTGCTACATCTCTCTCTGTCCTAGTTTTTAAATGAGGTTTGTCTTTGTGAGCTGCATTGCTGCCTCTGGTTTTTACATCTGCAGCATCAACTAACGATCTCTTTTTTTTTTACTGTAGTATCTAGTTACAGAATGGTTGAATGACAAAGCAGAGAAGCAAGAGTGCCCTGTTGAGTGCCCTTTACGTATCACCACGGACCCAACTGTGCTGGCAACGACTCTGAATATGTTACCTGGTCTTATCCATTCCCCATTAATTTGCACCACTCCCAAACACTACATTCGCTTTGGTTCACCCTTTATCCCTGAGAGGCGCCGAAGGCCCCTTCTGCCTGATGGCATGTTCAGCTCCTGTAAGAAGGTATGTGCATGTTTATGTGTTTTTTCACTCAGGATGCCTGTAATCCTGGTATATCTAACATTCTCTAGATAACCGCTGTCTGCCCCTGCAAGTATATAATGAGTTAGTTGTTCAACCAGGAGTAGTGATGCATCAAGAGTCAGTGGGACTAAGGTGAACTGTATACTGCATTCTTGATGCTCAGATTTGTGAGTATTTACTGTTGTCTTTTCTGAGAGCCCTTGAGGTTATTGAGTGAGTGCGCACAGCAGTTGATGACTGGGTAGGGAGGGGTGTTTTTTGTATGTGCTCTTGTTGTATTGGTTAAAATACCCATTTGTGACTATTGTGTGAAATGGGGCCTCAGGTACTCTAGAGCACTGTTGCATAAGTTAAAAATGATTGGATCGTGTTTTGAATTAATTTAATCAGTATTATTATTTGAAGGAGATTAAAGGAAAAATCTAATTGTAACTGGCACAATTTGTGTTCCCTTGATCAAATGACATGTTGGATTGTTTATTCCCTAGTGAATATGGAACCTACTATAAAAGACTCTATCTGCCTCTCTCTCCTCTCTCTAGTTACATATTGTTTTTGGATCTAGTGGCAGTAGTGTTTGGTGGTGGTTTATGGAATGCTCTTTCTTAATTCCCAGAAGCCGTGCATATTTTCCAAAGGTGTCTTTCAGGAATAGATCACTCCCTCAGACGTATAATGTCGTTTCTGTGTTTCTAGAAGTATAGGACAAGCTTTCGTTTGGTCTTCCTTTGAGGTAGAGTCTGTTCCCTGGAACACCCTTTTCTCTTATTCTCAGATCTGGATTCAGGCTGCCTTCCTCAGTGTCTGCCATTGCCCTCCTCCACTGGCATCACGTACATGAGGATGCTGCATGTAGATTATTTGATGTGATGAAGTCTCCAACTCCAGGCAGGTCTTCCCTGACTCCTCCAAACTTAAAGCTTTTCTCTTTACCCAAAGAACAGAACTTATTTCTGGGGGGAAGGGGGGTGGAAGATGAGCCAGAGTGGTGTGGGATATGGAGGGAGGAGGGCAACAGGGATCTGTGCAAAAGGGAAGGGCACTATTGCTGAATGAGCAGCACACACTGAAGAGAATCTTTTCCTGATTGCACATCTTACCTAAGTATCTGAGTCACTTACTGGTTTGGGAAAATTCCCAAGTAGAAGAAACTCTGAAGAGAAATTTGACCATGACATCCTTGCCAAAAGGGTTTGTAGATAATGCAGTAACATGATAAGTGATGGAAATAGAAATAATGACAAATTTCTTAAGAAAAAAGATAATACTAGAAAATTTCTCAAAAGCTGTTTTCTACAGGAAATTTGCCTAAGCAATAAAAAGGGGTTGGGTCTCAGGCTGTACTTCCTTATACCAAGTGAGTTAGAAAGAATAATTTATCTTGGATCATAGATTATATGAGAAGAAAAAAAGTTTTCTGCCTTGTAGTAACCATTACGATTAACCATCTTCAGTAATAGAGATCTGTAGTAACTGGTATGGCATGTGAAACTGAGAACTAATCTCTTATGTTTAGCTTTGCTTTGTTCCCCATTAAGAATGACAGCTCAGAATCTTAACTGTATTGTGAGAATAGTATTGAAAAATTAAGAGTATAGATGATAATGGTCTTTAGTCTAAAGGAAGAGCAAGTTGAGAGATGGGTTAATAATATATATGAAAGAAACTTCCTTTTGTTTTGTCTTTGGCTAGACATAGGACAAGATTTCTAAGGGTGCTAACTATTGAAGCATCTTAATCAAACTAGGGAGTAGAATCTCCTATTTTGGCCCTTTAAGAAGAGTGGACAATCAGTACAAATTAATAGTGAAGTCTGGTAATAAGTAGTAAGGACTAGCCTCTTGAAATGCCTTCTTTATAGTTGTGATGCTGCAGTACAATATTTCTGTTCTCATCTTTTCCAACTAGTATAGACCTGTAAATTCCAAGAACATGTGTTTAGGACCATGACTTCCAATTGGATATAGCAGAAACTCGATTTCTTAGAGCTCTTTTTACCTGGCTGTGGTTTAGGACTTAATATCTGTAGTTCATCTTTGTATCTCCACTTGCAACAGTTGGAAATCCTGTTTAGCTCAAACCAAAACTAAACCTGTTGCCATCGAGTTGATTCTGACTCATAGCTGCCCTATAGGACAGAGTAGAACTGCCCCAAAGGGTTTCCAAGGGTGTAAATCTTTGCCGAAGCAGACTGCCACATCTTTCTCCCTGGGAGCAGCTGGTGGGTTCGAACTGCCGACCTTTCGGTTAGCAGCCACCAGGGCTCCTTTCATTTAGCTCAGGTCCTGTTATATCTTCTAAATGTGTCTGATCATCCTTAGTCTCATTTTATACAGCCTTGCTCAAGCACTTTTATCTATATGTGTCATGATCAGTCTTTAGGAAGAGTTCAGGTTATGTACTCTGAATTATCATAACAAGATTATTTTATTTAAATTGGATTTTTGCTTTAAAAATTGTTTAAGTTTAAATCTGAATTGTTTAAGTTTAAACCACTGCTTTAATATTTTCTATAAACGTATCAAGACTGTATCACAAAACAATGTCATGTTTCATGGAACAAAATTAATGAAATTGGGTCTTTTAACTAGAAATTGAACTCAGCTCTATCCTGGGTGGGCATGGGGAGGAGTTATTTTTAGATTGGTTGGAAGGGATTAATTTAGTATAGGACCCAGGAACATTTCCCGGATTAGACAGAATTGTAAAAAAATTGTGAAACTTCTCAGGGAAGAATGTAAGTTAAATAGATGAGAAAAACTATCCTCCCTGGGATTAGTTAGAACAGTGTGTTATTCCTAGTAGGCCCACTAGTTCCTATCTGATTAAAGGATGTAAAGGCCTCATAAGTTAAAAAAGTGTAAGGTAGATTAAAGTTGCACTTGTGTGTTTGCATCTCATGGTTAATATATCAGCAGATTCTTAGAGTATTTGACAGAACATTTGATAACCAGCTTATGGATTTTCTAAATTAAATTCAATCATAGTTCTTAAAAAGCATGTTATGGTATGTCTTGTTGAATCTTATTTCAGTTCTCATTCTAGGAGCATTTATAAGTAGCCAGCAACACTTTCAGTAGTGTCCTACTTTGTTATCGCTAAATCTTCTCTAAATTCACCTTGTACACATAGTAAATGTGAGGCATTTGGTCTCCTAGATTTCTTAGAAAACAAACTTGCCTGATGAGGAAACACTGTGCTTTGCATTGGTATTCCAGTGTATACACTGGAGGGTTATTCATCTGTGTATCTATACATGTCATTGAAATTCAGTTAACAGTCCTCATCGAACATCTTTGTGACCAGTACTGTGCTACAAGCTTTATTTACGTACGTTGTCTCACTTAACCTTCGTGACAGCTCTTTGAAGTTGGAATTAGCAGTCTTGATTTACAGATCCAGAAGCTGAGGCTCAGAAAGGTTAGATAACTTGCCCAAAGTAAGGCAGCTACTAAGTGATACAGCCAGGTTTCAGTCCAGGTCTTTGGGCTTATAAACACATATTTCCTTACTCTTTCCTCATAATAGTGAGACTCTTTAAAAATATTTCTCTCACGGTCTGAGCCTCCTAAAATCTGTTTTGCAATTTACTTGAATACAGAGTTTTTCGGAGGGGGGAGAAATGTTCGTATGACTTTAACAACTGTAGGCAGGAATTGGAGAGGGTGGAAGAGGACTTGTGGGGGGAGGTTCTAAAGTTAATTTGTTATCCATAGGAGTGATTGGAACTTGTTAAATGCAAACAAATGTTCATATTTTCTGTTTTTATGCGCTGTGGAGTGTTGTGGAAACACATAACAGGGCCAGGGTGAATGGGTTTAACCATGTTTGCTGTGTTTGACCTTAATAGCTAATTATAGAAGCATCTTATTCCTTAGAAGCCTCTCTTCTGGTTTTATGTTCCCTTTTTGTAGTCATCAGATCCAGAATATAAATTCTTTTATGGGTACATCTACTTAACACTGGAAATAAAAGAAATTAACTTCTCTTGGAGCAAAGCGCAGTGATCCCAAATGAGTCCTGTCATCTGCTCTGAAAAGAAAAGCTTGTACTAAAGGTATCTGTAACAAAGGGTTTTTCACTCATTTTGTCGTCTTGTGCCTAATTTTTCCCATCTGTAAAATGAGTGCTTTGTACAAGATGACCTTTAAGGCCCTTTCTTTAAGTTGTAAGGATCTATGATTCTGGTAGTTCATCTTAACATCAGTATTCACTATATAAGAGAGTTTATTCTTGGTCTTGCTTTGGCTTTTCAGAGTCTCAGTCATATCCTAAAATGTTGATGTGATTCAAATGACTGTTGAGATCTCTCTTTTAGATATTCATTCAGTCTTATCGCCTCAGGTTTACAATTTTATTTTTGCTTTCATTTGACAGATCACAATGACATTTACATGATATAAAATTTTTCTTGGTGAATTTTTACTGGATTATTTCTTAAGTTTCTAAGAGAAAATCTATTAGAATTGCTCTCTTCGGTGAAGAGAATATTTGCTTACCTGTAATACTTCTTCTCTAAAGGTGTGAAATTATAATAATTCACCTTTGCTCTTCTGTTTGAGGGAGGGTCTGGCTCAGAAATGGATGTTTATCAAAATTTGATCTGTCTTAAGTCAGGGCAGGAGGGCCACAGAGTGATGAGAACCTGCAACTGTGTATCTTAAGAGAACACAGTTACAGATAAGAAATTTTCTCTCTTCTACAGGATGCATAATTTTATTTTCATAATCTTTGCAGTTTTACTGTCTGACCTAGATTTATTTCTCATCAATGTAGGTTCCAGTATTCACTGCAGAAATATGTGACTGATTAGAGCTCTTCTTTTTTACTTTTTCCCCTTTTTGATTTCTGCAGAAGGTCCTTTTTTCTGGTGATTTGCATTATCCATGCATACTTTAACTAAACTGCTTGATAAGGGTAAAAATCCCACAGACTATTCCAGTTGCGAGTAGAGTAGACTTTTTAGAAATATTTTGGTACCTATAGTGAAGAACTATTTATTCTCATCCAAAGTCTTCCTGTGAATCTTTTCTATTGTCTCTTCAGGAATCCCCAGCACAGGGCAGACAGCTCTTAAGAGATCTTTGTCTTCCTTCTAGGCATTTGCTTTATGTACTGGTTGCATCATCCTATATGATCAAAGTCTCTCTTAATGAATGTTAAAGTTTCTTCCTTATCTCTTCTCCACCTTAAGCAGTACAAAATGTTGAACAGTAACCACTTTTTACTGGTTTTGGTTTTTTAATGGGCTCTCATTATGTGTAATCCAGATTTTCTTAATTATGCCCAGTAGAAGGAGTTGATGGGGCAGTGTTGTAATATGCTGAAACACAAGACATGAAATACTTGTGAACTGAATGTGTCTGTTGGATTGCATCTCTCACTTATGGATGGATAGTGACCTGTTTAATGCATTTAAAATAGGTATACTAAATAGTTTTAAATGATTATTGATGATTCCTTGGTTATTTTCCCATTATAGCGCTGGATAAAGCAAGCCTTGGAAGAAGGGATGACTCAAACATCATCTGTATCCCAAGAGACTAGAACTCAGCACCTATACCAAAGTAACGAGAACAGTAACTCTTCTAGCATCTGCAAAGACAATGCAGGTACGTGTCTAAGACCTTTCTGGATACATGAACAGTGATTATTTCAGAGCCACATAAAAAAAATTTCAGTATGAATACTTAAAAGTCTGATACGAAAAAGAAATAGTATTGTTCTCTAAATAGTTACTTTACATCTGTCTTTACAGAGAAAGAGATCTCAAGTCAGGGATCAGTTTTCCCAGGACGACAAAGAAGGAACTAGACAGTATACAGATAACAACAGAAATGGTTATGAAAAGGTTAGATGCATTTAAAGTAGTAAGTTTAGGAAATCTGTATCCATATTTATAAAAGGAAAAAAGCAACAAAGTGGTGGAACACTAATACTCAGGGCAGAATCAAAATTCTAGATGATTGAGTTGGGTGAGGGCTTGGTTGAAGGGACAGAGAATGAATAAAGAAGAAATCATTAACAAATGGCTGTTTTCATCAGTGCTTACACAATTAGTGTAAATTGTTTAGAAGACACAGCTTTGAATCCAATTTAAAGTCCTCATGCGTTTTTTTTTTTTTCCAACTAAATGGCCTTGAAAAATCATCTGGTCTGTTGGTCTCACAGAGATTTGCAGGTGTTTTAATTGAATTGCAATTGAAAGCATCAGTGCATTAACTTGAGATACCAATTTAACTCATTTTGGAGCAGTCTTTTTATCAAAATTTCTCCTGCCAGTATCACTTAATTGAAAAGTTCCCTGTGATTTCAAGATACTATTTCCATAAGTTTATTTCTCAGTTTTCTAAACATTATGCAACTAAAACAAAATACCAAAATAAATTAGAAACTAAAGCTCATGTAAGACTACAGCTAACATGATATTTCAGATTCTCATAAATCCCACCTCATTGTTCCTATTCATTGACTTGCAGAGTAAATAATTATGACTTGAATTTGGATTAATTCCTGATTTAGATTTAATTAAATAAATATATATTAGTAATATCTGCTTTATATTAAAATTCTGTATAAGATTTTTTTTTTAATATGGGCTACTAAAATACATTTTTTTTTTAAAATTATGACTGAGTTTGTTCTTCTATGTCTAGATTGGCTTATATCTCATTAACTATCATATGTGTAACCTTGGGATAATAAAATCCCAGTATAGAACATCTGGAAGATAAATGATACCATGCATTTAAAATCTTTTATTATGTACTTTATCACAGATTTTGGGAGAGTTAACTGAAACCAGGTTAATACACAGAAATCCTAGTGCCAATTTATTGGCAGTTTTTAAAATGTAGTGAGGATATAACTTAGCTGAAATATTCTTTCTAGTACGTACACTCACGTCTGTGTGTGTGTTATGTATGTATGTGTTTAATTTTGGGAAAGGGAGATTGTATAGTGATTTGTGTCCTGACTTGCAAACACCCATAGGGAAAGTGCCTTTGTTACTACATGCCTTGGGTGGAATGGAATTAGGATTCAGTCACGAACCTCTATACCAACCCTTATTGAGCTGCTGCCCTATTCTCTACCAGTGAGAAAAATTCAAAAGGACACACTTTGCACATAAGGAGCAGTATAAATCTTAGGAACATATATAATAGAACTACCATGCAGTAGTCAAATGAGCACCTCATTATATTGCTACAGGTCAGTGTAAATGCTGAGAAATTATTTTTATTTGTTGCATTAGTTTTTTGTTTGTTTTGTTTTGTAAGGAGACATTAAGAAAAAGACACAGATAGATATAGTAGAAAAAATAGAACAGACCTGAATTTGAAGACCAGCTCTACCCTTTACTAACTGTATGACATTGGGCAAGTTATTAAACACCTCTGAACCTCATCTGTAAAATAGGAATAGTAATATCTGCTATAGGGCTTTGTTGTTGTTAGATGCCATTGAGACAGTTTCCACTCATAGTGACCACATGTGACAGAGTAGAACTGCTGCATAGGGATTTCTTGGCTGAAACCTTTTCAGAAGCAAATTGGCATGTCTGTCTCCCTCCGAGCTGCTGGGTGGGTTCACACCACCAGCCTTTCAGTTAACAGACTAGTGCTTAACCACTTGTGCCACTATGAGATTAAATAATGTGTATCAAGTGCCTAGCACAATATCAGACCTATAATAAGAATTATTATTGTATTATTCTACAGAAAATACTCTTGTCAAGCATTCCTGGAACATTTACAGAAACCAGTCAGACACTAGAATACATTAAAATCTATAAATTCCCAAAAGCTAAGGTTGTATAGATATTGAAGGGGTTAGGGTATAATGCTCATTATTTATAAATAATGTGGTTATATACTTAGGAGAGCATAAATAACCAGCTGAAAAACTTAGAATTAATAAGCATTGAATAAAATTGCTGGATAGAATGTAAGTATACAAAAATGAGTAGTATTTATATGCTAAGAAGATGAAGAAAAGTATTTTATTCCCAAACTTAACAAAACTAAGACATTGCCTAGGAGTAATCTTTGTGGGACATGTAGAGCAAACCATTACTGAGAAATATTTTTAAACTCTTGAAGAAATGAAGACAGATTCCATAGTCAATGGAAAGAATAAATACTGTTAAAAGGAAATATATGTATAGTCTCAGGCTTCATATAGTTTTCCTCAAAATAACTGGCTTGTGTTTCAAATTTGATTAAATGATTTTGCAGTTTATCTAAAGGAATAAGCATGAAAGTATAAGAAAAAAAAGAAAAAGACTTACTTTTTATAGAACCATAAAATCAGTTTCTAGTATGAAATTAGTAATTAGATTTCTGTGGTACTGATTCAGGAATGGATATATATATAGAACAGAATAGCTAGAAACAATCTTTAATATAAATGAAAGATTTGGTAAATTTTTCTGGAATTTTTACTTGGGAAGATGAAGAAGATTTAGATCCTTACCAAAACAGATGCTACGCACAGTCAAATAATTTTATAAATCAAGCTGAATAAACAAAATTTCTGTGTCTGTATTGTCAGTGAATTAATAGATGACAAATACATCAGGGTGAAGGATTTGCAATAAAAATGACAGATGAGTTATATCTCTACTAGCAGTTTGGCAAGATTTATCATGTACACTGAAAATATTTGTACCCCTTAACCTAGTAGTTGTTAAGTATCTGTTCTGTAGAAGTATGTGCGAACCAAAACGTATGTACGTAGATGTTATTTATAGAATTATTATTTATATACATATATATATTTTTTTTTAATTATTAAGTATAAGGTTAAAATAACCTGAATTTTTAACAAATAAAGGGATGGTAGACTTCATAGTTTATCTGCTGTGGGCACATACTTTTGATGAAATAGTATACAGTATTCATTAATAAGTTTACTCCTAAATCATTTTATCAAATGAAACACCCCTTCCCCCCTCAAAAAAAAAAAAAACAGCAAAGTTCCACTTTTGAATTAGATTTCAGCCATCTTAATCAGCATAGGGGCCGTGGTAGCACAGCAGTTAAGTGTTCAGCTGCTAACGCAAAGGTCACCAGTTCAAATCCACCAGATGCTCCTTGGAAACCCTATGGGGCAGTTCTACTCTGTCTTGTAGGGTCACAATGAGTAGGAATCGGCTCGACGGCAACGAGTACAGGTGACTCTATAAGACTATTTAAAAAAATACCATATTGTGACCAAATAATTTTTCTCCCAGGAATATAAGGGTAGTTCAGTATTCGAAAATATATTAATATAGTTCATTTATTAGCAGGTGAAATAGAGTAAGAGGTATAGTACCTCAGTAAATGCTGTGAGTTTATGAAAGATTTGGTAAATGTCTGTGATAGAAAATAAAGGAAATGATTATATTTAACAAAATAAAAACGTAAAATGCCGTATGAAAAAAAAAAAGACTAAATTTATAAGGCAGACAAAAAATAACTAACATTTTTGTCAAAGGATCAACATCCTTCGTTAAAGAGCCCTTACAAATCAAGAAAAAAATCAATACATAGAATATTAGCTGAAGGATGTGAGTAGGCAGTTCACTCAAGAATGTAAAGCCAGTAAACCTATGGAAATACTCCTTTGGTTTAACAATCCTAAATCTAGCCATTTGTCCTAAAAAATAATAATAAATGCAGAAATGTGTAAGAAGAAGATTGTTGGTCATTGAGGTATGTTTATAATAGCAAAAAAATTAAAAATACTTTAATTGGTTAAATGTTGATAATCTGAATGTCATGCAGCCATTAAAAATTGAACTGTAGATTTCTGTTTATTGTCATGAGAAGATTTTTACCACATACAATATCAAAGCTGCATATGGCAACAGATAACAGAAAAGAAAAATAAAACTTGGAAAAAATGTTCTATTTTGTAAATATAATACTACTACTAGGAAAAAAATAAGCAAATGACCAGTGGCCCATAAACTTTCTAAGGGCAGGTGTCAGGTCTCTTTTGCTCAGTACAGTATTATAAGTGTTGGTAAATATTTGTTGAATGAATGCCCTATAAATTGATTTGTGGGCCAAGGAGTTCATCTGTATTTTCTAACTTTTCTGCAAAGGATTTTATCACTTATATAATTGCCTTTAGTAGTTACAGTGTTAGACCTAGCAGTACAGCAGTGTTTTAAAAGAGTCAATGTTTAAGACTCTTTAAATATAATAAACATTTTTAACATAAGCCATGAATCAACGTTTGTTTGTTTTTTATACCTAGGCACTTAATAAAAAAGGAGAAAAGAAAAATAAGAAAAGAAAACTTAGTATCTGGAACAAAAGGAAAATACAAGTATACTTCCAGTCTAGGAAGATAAAAAGTTCTCAGATATCAGAAAGGAAAATAAACATCTCCAGTATTTTTTTAACTTATTCTTCCTTTTCCATTTCAACATCTATTACTTTAATTCAGTGCCTCATAGCTTCTTATGTTGACTACTCCATTAATTCTAAATAGTTTCTAAGTTTCTAGTCTCATTCTACTCATTACTGCCAGATTAATCTTCCTGAAGCATAGCTCTGATTGTGACCTACCATCCCAAAACTTTTCCTCGAAGGCCTAGGATAAATGTCAATCATTTGGGAATATAATTTAACATAGTGATTAAGAAATAGATGGGAGCCATATTACCTAGTCTTTACCTCTCTACCCTCATCTTTAAAATGGGGTGGTGACAATAACATTGCCGAATTTATAGAGTTGTTACAATTAGCTAACTCACATAAAACATGTAACATAGTGCCTAGTGTATATATGTACTTTAAAAATACAGCTATTATTTTTACTAACACATAGCACTATAAATCACAAGGTCTTACAATTTGTGCTAAACCTGTTCTTTATATATGGTTTACCTTTTTTACAAATTTGTAAGCCTCTTGAAAACATTATATGATAACCATTCACCCCATACCTAATTCCGTGGTCTGCATATAGTAGGTATTATGTAAAAAATATCTTTTAACTGTACATGAATGAAAGTAGATTTTTTTCTGAGAAAGTATGATGAGTGGTTTGATTTGAACAGTAACTAAAACATACAGCATAGTGATAAGTTGTGTTTTAAGACAACTTACATTGTGGAAGAAGTCTAGAAAATAAGATTATTCCAGTCAGAAAAGGAATACCAGCCTAGTTCTTTAAAATGACCGGAAGAGTCTTTGTAGAAGTCATTTTACACTTTGACCCACTCTGAAACTAGGGGCTAGATATGGATCGGGAAAAATAATTCTTTCCAACTAAAACAATATCATAGAAAGAGCTGCTGTGGAAAGTAGCAAAAATATATAAAGGAAGATGAAAAGCATATATGGATTTAACATCCCAGTAGCTTGAGTTGGTGATGTGTCAGTTAGATCAAGGATGACTAACAAAGTGACACAGATTGGTGATTTTCAGAAACTCAAAGGAAAAAAATTATATTTTATACTGGAAGAGATTAAATTAGTTGATTACACCCCCAAGGATCAGTCATTAGAAGTGTCAGGTTCATCTGAAGTTTTCCTGGGAGTTAGAGTGTTTTGACTATCAAGTGTGATAAATTAAAGAGTTTTTATGGAATTTTTGGTTGATTGGAAGAGATAACTTAATGGGATGAGGCAAAAGAAGAGTTAAGAGTCATTGTAGATTAGACATTAATGGCTTTAGCCTCCATTAATCTGTGGTTTTAGACTCTCATAGAAGCTTTATATTTTGCAGACTTGTTGAGCCCATTAAAGAAATGGAAGTCTCGCTATCTGATGGAGCAGAATGTCACCAAGTTACTGCGACCTCTATCCCCAGTCACACCACCCCCTCCCAATCCAGGATCAAAGAGCCCCCAGCTGACCGCACCTGGTCCTTCTCATCCAGGAGAAGAGGATTGTCGAAATGGATACAACCTCATGTTCTCACCAATCACGTCTCTTACTACTGCTAGTCGCTGCAATACTCCTCTGCAGTTTGAGGTGATTTGGGTTTGGTTGTTGGGAGTGCTGGATATGAAAATCATCATTTGCACCTCCTCATTTCAAATATAACATCATTCCAGATGTTTCTTTCCCATGTTCCTTCCCTATCTCAACAAAAGAATGGGAATCTTGAGGGTCATTGTGACCTATTACCTGGTAGCCTCTCATCTCGGCCGCCACCATAATTCCCTTAATAGGAACACAGGTCACATTCATCTCTCTTGCATGTAGTCCATTAGTCTCCAGAACTTTAGGTAATAAGCATGCTGGATCTCCATCTTTATCTTTACTGTATTCCTTGTTTAAAATAGGCCTCTGGGTGCCTATAGTAACCATAAGGATACCAGTTTAAGAGTTCAGATTATACTGATTGATTGTGTCTTTGCTTCTAGGCCTTTAATCAGTGAAGTGTGTTTTCGCTGTTGTTTTGTATTCTCATCGTGCCCTCAGTGTACAGGAATTTAGAAAGCATTGGGGTATGGTTATGGCAGACGAGGTTTGTTTTCACTCCAGGCTACTTTCTTTCCTTGTTATAATGTGCTGGAATGAGAAGTAGACAAGAAGCTAACAACATGCATTTATCAGATACAAGTTTATTACATTCACTCTTTGGATTAAGTTAGAAATGTATGTCTCAGCTGTTTCAAAAAACCAATTCTGAATCACTTTAGTATCCAAGAATGGGTGACAGCAGATTTGTTAAATAGAATCTATGTGTACAAAATACTCATCTATTGCATATTGCTTTGATTTATAATTAAATGGGCACTGTCTCTTCCTGCTTAGAAAAATTTGTTCTGACCACTAAACACACTCAGCTCTGCCCCCAGCTTACACTTCTCCAGATGTGTTCTTTGATAAAGGTGAATCTTCTAGCCAATACCATCCTTCCTGTTCAGCTTTGATAAGAGCATGAGGATTAAAAATACCTGAATTTTAAGTCATAAAGGAGTAATAGCAACCTTGAAAGTGGCTGTGTTCTAATGCCAGACCATTTAACTAACTTAACTTTTGGAGCAAACTTACTTCAGGGCGGGGGTTAGGGGTGGGGTTCATGGTTATCATTTTTAAGGGAAGTTGCCCTAAACCGTATTTACTCTTTATCAAATCCCCATGACATTCTTATTAGCTAGATATTAAAGCAGCTGATTCAGGCCTTACTAACTTGTCTACTTGCAGTTGATTTTTCATTTAAGCAACTAGAGTTTTATAGTAAGATTTCATGGGAACAAATTCTTTTCCCTGGAAGGCAATAGATTATAAGAACAGGATTTTATTCTTTGTTATTTTATCAATGCATGTTTTATTATAAATGAAGGTGAATCACCTTCCAAAGCAGCCACATTTTGTACTTAATGCGTTCCCTATCCCTTGTAGCATTTTGTATAGTTGTGAAGCACTATGCAAATGCAAGGTGTTTTTATTTAAAAAGTAAGAGAAATCAGAGATCAGTTTAGTGATACATAGTTCAAGCATTATGTTGGAATAACAAGAGGGAAAGAAAATATTTTATAATCTTTTTATTAGCCCTTCCCTTCAAAAAGTCCAATATATGTTTCCACTATTTTGAACTTGTGATTTAACTAAGGAAATACAACCTTTCTCATCAGTAGAAAACAAACCACCATCCTGACCCATCCTTATCACCATTGCCATACTTTTCCTGTATTCTAGTACAGAAGTGGGGAAGCATGTTTTCCATCAATAGAAGAGTTCAGAGCCATAGAGAAATGGCCCTGAGACATAAGACACATAGAAAAATACCAAACAGATGTCCCAGATAATGACCAGCTTAGTTTGGTGAAGAGTATTTTTGAAAGGGAAAAGTAGAAGGTGGCGTTTGGGGAGAAGGATCAGAAATCTTCCCATGCTGAAGGCATGCGGTGGAAGGGAACAAGATCTTGAGAAGGGAAGCATCAGGAAGGAGGAGTGAAAGCAACGTTGGGAGGGCAAACTTAATTAATTAGCATCCCTTTCCACCAGAATAACCCTTCCTATCTTTCTTTTCTTGCTTTGAGATCCGTACCCCATTGTCCATCACAAACATGCATATCATGCGCATACACCGCCCACCTACCCCGCCGAGGTGTTGGATCCGAACTGCTGACCTTTTGGTTAGCAGCCGAGGTCTTAACTACTGTGCCACCAGGGCACCTGGTCTGCTAAAGCAGCCTCAATTTCCCTACCACAGCATAGGCCTGCCACCTAGTCCTCAATTGTCCAGAGACTACATTAGGAACCTCTTCCCTTTTCCCAACTCTGGCACCCTGAAGCCTCATCACAACTACCACCGCCACTCTATTCCACATTTTACTATTCACGTCTTCCTTTCAAGAGTTCATTGCCCAATTCATGTTTGTTGTGGAAGTGCTGCCTCATTTGAAAGCCCTAAGGGTAACCCTGTTTTGGACACGGAGACTCAGAGTGTATACATGTACTTTCTTGGCTGTGTTCCCAAAAGTACGATGATTTTAACATTAGAGAATATTGGTAGGAGCACTCAGATCCAATTAGATTATGCCAAGAGCCAAATCTAGGCTGTGAACTGTAGAGTCCATCAATCACATTTCCTGTAACAGTCCTTCAAGGGGAATTGTTCGTCTCCCTAGGCTTGTCAACCCCCAGCATGCTAAGCAATGCCCCTAGATGATGGTGGGTGGATCTGAGGCATTTTAAAAAATAAGGAAAATGAAGATCAGAAGAAGGGAATATGGGGATAAGGAAAAGGGTTCCTCTAAGGATGAATAAGTGGTAGGGTGCCACTCAATAACAAATACTATAGGTTGCTAAACTCTGATCTAAAATACAAAAAAAAGTACTGCGAAATTTCACCAATTAACCCTTTCCTGGTATCTGCTTGGGATGTTTAATTATAGCATGATACATTATAACCTATTTACCCGTAAATGCTTCCAAAGACAAAAGGAAGCATTTCAACAAGTCATTCTTTTCATGGAGATGAGGTCTGCAGTTAAACATTTCCCCTGTGCATTCTTCCTTCTCCAACCCCGTAACACCCCCATCCGCCCCCCAAAAAAGTTGTGGCTAACATCTATGCTTGCTTTTACTTTAATTTTTTTTTGGTTTTGTTTTGCTTCTTGACTTCGAGTAGATGAATAACAAGATGCTTTTCCCTCCTCTAGAACATATCCTCCCCTGAGAGTTCCCCTGCGCATAGGCCCGAGTCCCTGTCACCCGAGGTAGTTATCACACCATCTCAATCACACTGGGAGGCTGAGAGTGAGTGTGCATGAGTGTACCTGAGTGTTTGGGGAGGGCTCGGGGAGTCAGAGTGAATCGGGTGATGGGCTGGAGGGTGGCTGATCTGTCACAGTAAGTCAAATGACTTCCCATGTGTGACTATGACTATTCAGGACTATCAATGTAGATGGAGGAAAATGAAGTAGCTGGGTGTGTGATGGGGTTTGTTTTTGTTGTCATTTGCGGGGAGGGGATGGCTGAAGAGTATTAAACAAGAATAGAATCTAGAAGTCAGGTTTAAAGGAGGTGAAGATGTGGTAGAGCCTTGTTAAAATCTACTTAACAAATAAGGCCTGTTTTGTTAAAAGGGACATTGAATCAAAGTTGGTAGGAACTATCTTTTGATATTATCTTGGACTGATAAGGGAGCAGCTTACACTGGAAAAGTTAGTGACTTATGCCATGTCTCCAGTGTTTTGGATTTGGTTGATAGATTGAGCACCTTCTTTGGGAAGGGAGAGTAATTTTGCCTCTCATTTCTCCTACCCTTTTTCTGTAGCTCCTTCCTGGGTGCACAAACTGCTAAATCAGTCCATGACTTCTTTGTCACAAGCCTCCGTTCCTGCAGTGGTTGTGATATGGTTGCTGTACAAAAGTAGCATCTCAGTTGAATGTCTCGAGAATATCAATAGAGTGCTTTTTTCAGAAAAACTATGGAGATGTTAAATTCAGATTTTAGTGCTAGTGTTTCTTAACTGTTATAAAATTTGAACAAATATAGTAATGATTAATGCCACAAATCTACATGGAACCTTTTTCCTCTTGAAGAGAAAGTTACAGTCTCTCAGAACCTTCCAGGAATTAACTGAACTGTATATGTATCCCCCACCCCCCCAATCAAACATTAGGGCTGAACTCAGTGACAGTTGACCAAATTCTGAATTAGGAGTACTTTTTAGATCAATGTGAAATTGAAAAAGGTTGCATTCCAGTGTTTTAGGTGTTTTCACTCAATATTATAAGGAAAATAATGCTCTCCTCAGTTGTTAAAGATTCTAAGGTAGCATAATTTGGAGGTTGACATGGTGTGGTATCTGGGTTTCTGGTACCATTCTTTGAACAAAGTTAGCTATAGTTGACCTAGAGGTGAAGAATATTGGCGTTAAGAATGGTACCATTCTTTGTAGGGTTAACTACGTCGTTGACCTATGGTGGAAAACTCTTCATGTTAGGAGGTAATGATAACCCGATAATAGATGGGGTTTATTTTTGGTACAGTACAGGATTTCAGATGCTCTGCATTGAATGATCTTAGTGCTCTTGTGGTATGTTGACATGCATTGCAGGATAAAGAATTGAGTGGCTAGAAAGTTGTATGAGAACTACACCTACTTAATGGTGAAAATGAATGAAGTACTGGCTGGTTGATGCCTTTAATGCCATTCTCCTTTACTGAACCAGTAATTTAAGTACTCACCTTTTCATGTACTTTATACTTGCCTTCACCTTTCTTCCCCCACCCCTACCTTCCATCACTATTAACTTAGGAATGAATAATACCAGTCTCACCTCAGTACTGTGCATGGGGCTCAGGTAAATCCCAAATTATAATGCCAGTCCCTTAGCGTAGCATGTGACTGCAAGGTGACTCAGCAAACCTGATGAAAGGCTAAGCAGGCAAAATAGTCACATTTGGCCAATTATCTAATTCTGACTTCCCCAGTATTCTTCGGAAAGACTTTAAAGCAGATTGGGAGAGGCCAGAATTCTTTAGTAATCTGGCCTCTATATACACTGTTGCTACTTGGGACTTTACAGATGTTAATGACTTTCTCTCCTCTACTTCCATCTTTCCTTGTTCACCTGTGCCCTTCTCACCTCCCTTCCTTTCTGCCCTTTGACTTTTTCCTTTCTCCCCTACCCCATGTCTTTGTTGATTTTTATTCTTCCAGCTTTGTCACCGAAAAGACATGGATTTGACAAAAGTAGGATACCTTGACTCCAACACTAACAACTGTGCTGACAGACCCTCTCAGCTCAACTCAGGTCATTCTGACCTGGCTCCTCATCCCTCCATCGGGCCCACCTCTGAGTCTGGCTTCCCAAGCAGGAGTGGAGATGGACATCAGACCCTTGTAAGAAACTCGGACCAGGCATTTCGGACAGAGTTTAACTTAATGTATGCCTACTCCCCTTTGAACGCTATGCCTCGAGCAGATGGATTATATCGAGGGTCTCCCCTAGTAGGGGACAGGAAGCCTTTACATTTGGACGGGGGATATTGTTCCCCTGCGGAAGGGTTTCCCAGTAGATACGAACATGGAATTATGAAAGACCTTTCTCGTGGATCCATGTCACCTGGTGGTGAAAGGACCTGTGAAGGACTCCCATCTGCCCCACAGAACCCACCGCAGAGGAAAAAGGTAAGTGTTTCACATTATGTAAACCCTAATGAAGAAGATACACTGTGGTTGCAAACCATTGAATGTTGCTGTAGGTTCAGGTGAAAGGCATATAGAGTCAGGAGAAGAGTGTGCAAAGAGATAGTTAGGGGCCAGGCCCTGGAGAGCTTGCTGACAAGTTGGTACTTGTATGTAAATGCCTGTTCTAGAAATCATAAACAGGTATTTACTGAGTGCCTGCTGTGTGTTCAGCACTGTTCTCAGTGTTCGGAAAACAGATTAGTAAGACATGGTCTCTGCCAATATCTAGTAAAAAACACAGTTTTAATTACAGTTTGGTGAGTGCTATAAATATTTGCTGGGTGCCATACACTTGTGAGGTAGTTCAAAGGATACGGCAGTTTAAAAAAAAAAAATAGTATCTTATGTTAATTTTATCACTTCCTGTGTTCTGGGAGCTGTTAAGCTCTTTATAAGCATTTAATCCTCACAGTAATCCTGTGATATAGGTAGTAATTTTCCATTTGCAAGAAACTAAGGCAAGTTAAGTAATTTGTTCATGGTCACACAGAAGAGCTGGATGCTCAACTAATGCCTGTTCTAGAAGTCTCAAAGTCAAAAATGTGCTTTTTATGTCAGTGGTTTTCAACTGGGGGCATTTGGAAATGCACTAGAGTATTTTGAGTTGTAATAGTAATTTCCATTTTAGTGGGTAGGGCTAGGCTAGGGATGCTAAATGTCCTATGTGTGGGATAGTCTCACATAATGGCAAAGTGTCTGTAATAACTCTCCTTGAAATATAGCTAGTGGCTTTTTATATTTGCATTACAGTAAGATACGTTACCAGAATTTTATTAATCCCCTTCCAAGATTGGTGTATAAAAAATACATACACAAAATTGTGTTTTCATGTTTTTGTTATATTTTAATTTGGACAGAAAAACAAAGAGTCCTCAAGGGGTAGAAGAAGGAAGAAACACTGTCAGATGATTTGGAGTAAGATAGTAATGGGTACAGAAGTTGTTGCATGAACAGCATTGACTATCGGGTACAAAGAAATGGAAACAACCTTTATATTTCTGGTTTCAGTTAATAAAAAGTGACTAGAATCATGATTTGTAATTTCTGAAACATTCGTTGAGAACCTGCTATATGCCAGGTTCTGTGCTGGATGTTAAAGATAAAAAGCCAAATAAACTTAATAAACTTAGTCTTTGCCCTCATAAAATTCACAGTTTAATGAGGAGCAAGCAAGGTACTATAATAGACATAACAGCCAATGTAAGGACAGTGTGCTTTAATAGGAAAGAGGAGATTCACAAGGCTATGGTAGGTGGCAGAGGTCCTGTTGTAGCAGTCAGGAAAGAATTAGTAAGGATTAGGTAGATGATGGGGGGCTGGGGGGAGAAGTTTCCAAGTATAGGTTTTATAGAGTCACCTTGCTAAAGTATAAACTGGATATCATTTCTTCACCTTTGTTCTTTTACTCTAGTTTCTCAATGTGTAAGACAGAAATGGTAATAAATTCTTAGATATGTCTTGAAGATCTCTGGAGCATTGGTTTTTTCTGTAGCCCGTAGAGATTCCTAGGGAGTATGGAAGAACTATCAGAATCACCTGGGAAGCTTTGTCAACCTACACAAGCTTCCCACTCTTCATCTTCCCTTTTTTAGGTGCTCCCATTTTTGCAGATTATTATGAGAGTACTCTTCAGTTACTGGTGAGGGTATGGTATAATCTCAAGGTTTTTCTAAAGGCAGAAAAAACATTGATATCTACTGGTGAACATCATTCTTCAAAACTGTTATCTCCTAGTTTACTGTCTTTTCCTTACCAAGTTCTGACTGCTTTAAATAGATAGCTGTGCTCAGAGCTCTCTCACACCTGGAAAAATTTGCCAGGATTGGTTCCTGCTTTGTTTGTATGGCTTGGCTCATGGTTTACTAGGCTTCTATCTTCTTTCCCCATTGCTAGTGACCAGTTAATGATGTCTAGGTGACCCAGTGTCCTATTTCTTGTTTCCTTTGTAGGTATCCCTGCTGGAGTACCGCAAACGAAAACAAGAAGCCAAGGAGTCTGCTGGTGGGGGAGCTGACTCTGTACAGAGCAAAAGCAAATCTGCAGGAGCTGGGCAAGGCAGCAGTAACTCAGTGTCTGACACTGGTGCCCATGGTGTGCAGGGATCCTCAACCCGAGCCCCATCTTCCCCTCACAAAAAATTTTCCCCATCTCATTCCTCTATGTCCCATTTGGAGGCAGTAAGCCCATCAGATTCCAGAGGCACTTCTTCATCTCACTGCAGACCTCAAGAGAATATCAGCAGTAGATGGTAAGTTTATATTTGATGCTTTATAATTAAATTCAAGAAGGAAGTGTACATCTAGGATCATTCCTAATTTTTCCCAAAATGTATGGAAACACTTAAACTGGAGAGAGCCAGCAGACAGTGCCATCTATCCTGTTCAGCTGATTTAATAGTACTAGCCGTAACCCCCCAGCTTTGCAGAAGCAAAGAAGCCACCAAGCCTGCAGAGAAACACTTTGGACGTCATTTAGTTGTGAACACAGATGAGCTTTTTTCTCAGTGGGCACTAACACTGCCTCTTCTATTTTCTCATTTCATATCAAAGGTAAGTCAGGAGTTCAGCCCAGTTCCACTTGAATTAACAACAGGTTGTTATATGTATGTAGAGAGCTAGGGCAGATAATCTGAAAGAACTTGTAATCTGGTTTAGGGAAAACCATAAATAAAACGATTAATAATACACCTCCTCATTTATCAAGTATCGCATTACCTGACATTTCACATTTATGACAATAGTAAAAAATCTACTATCTGACTATTTTGCACATTAATGACGTACATCTGGCAGTAACAAACTCTGAGGCAGAGGTTATGCTGGCTGTGATGTTTAAGGTTATGTGTCAACTTGGCTGGGCTCAGTGGTTTGGCAGTTATGTAATGATGTATTCATCCTCCATTTTTGCATAATGCTGATTTTTGCATAACGACCTGGTCTTTGGAACCTAACCGTGTTTATAAGCGAGGAGTGAGTGTACTGGTGGCAAGTACTGAGTACCAAATGAGTGAAGTAGAGTGAGGCACAGGAGTTCACGGATCTGAGCGGAAGAAATTAAGCCTGAGAAAGAAGAGGCATGGCTCAAATGAGCAATATGCATTCATAATGAAACAGTTATTAAACTGATACTGTGTGCCAGGCACATGATTTCACAGAGAAAATTTAGCATTTCAAAATCGAGGTTAAAAGAAGTTAGCATATTTAATCCACTTTTTCCTTGATTTCTTTTTCTCTAGAATTGTTTTTTTCTTCTGTATTTGATTGACATAGTTTGAGGCAGTAGAAATATCTTGTCTTAAATTGGTCCTGAAGAAAACAATGTTTAAGAGGATGAGACTATGTTTAGAGAATACATTGTACAGTCTTTTTCAGAGCTTCATTTGTAGCAGACTCCTGATTCTTAAACTTAATACACCCTGTTACTTTCCCAGGATGGTTCCCACGTCAGTAGAACGGCTCCGAGAAGGAGGGAGCATCCCCAAGGTCCTCCGGAGCAGTGTGAGGGTGGCCCAAAAAGGAGAGCCTTCTCCCACATGGGAGAGTAACACCACAGAGAAAGACTCAGGTGAGCCCATGGCCTTCTGCTGCCAGTCAGGTTCAGGGAACATGTGCCAGGCTCCACACAGTTAACACCAAATTCTGGGATAAGGTGAGTCAGTTTCTTGCACAGTTGGGCTTTACTCTATGCTGAGTTTTAGCTCAGCCTGACATCTGCTCTTTGGGGCTTCACTATTCTTAAGATCTAGCTTTGCTTGCTCTTATCTGCTCTTTTTTCCCAAGGGATATCTTTCTGTAATTCTTATCTCTCCAAGGGCCTGGAAATCCACCTTGATGAAGGAAGAAGAGAAAAGAAGAGATGAAAGTCAGATCAGGCACTTTAAAAATTGCCCATAATTAACCCACTCCTTTTGCTCTTCTGGCGTGCTGCACTCACCTGGTTTTCACGAAGAGAACAGCATGGGTTGGTGATTTAAATGAACAATGTGTGTTTCTCACTTAATCTAAGAAGCCAATTTGATTTTCTGTTACCTTCCAGACCCTGTGGATGGAGAAGGCCCAGAGACATTGAGCTCGGCACTCTGTAAAGGAGCAACTGTTTACAGCCCTTCTAGATACAGCTACCAGGTAAGACAAGAAATTGCTGATCCCTGGGCATAGGAATATGTTCTGGGTTCCAAATGTTTTGTGATCCTGGCCATCCTTTGCAGTTGAGATGCCTTTATATGAAGAGTCTTTGCATATAGTTTCAGCAGCCTTGGAAATAAGTCCTCATCTGTTCACCTTCAGGTAATAAAATTATGGCAGTAAAATAAATAAGGTGACCTCTGTCTTTGGTATCCTAAAAGGAACAAATGGTTTAAAAGAAGAAGAAAAAAAATTGGGTATTGTAAATATTCACAAGCCGTTTAAGGGACTTATTCAGCTCTTTATGCTTTTCCTCCCAACTCTTTCTAGCTCCTGCAGTGTGATAGTCCACGGACAGAATCACAAAGCCTCCTTCAACAGAGTTCCTCTCCCTTTAGAGGACACCCTACCCAATCTCCAGGATACAGTTATCGAACTACTGCACTGAGACCTGGAAATCCCCCCTCTCATGGTTCTTCAGAATCATCCCTCTCTTCTGTGTCCTATTCCAGCCCCGCCCACCCTGTGTCCACAGACTCATTGGCCCCATTTACGGGGACACCAGGGTACTACAGTAGCCAGCCACATTCTGGAAACAGCACCAGTAGCAGTCTTCCAAGGAGGAGCTGCCCTTCTAGTGCTGCTAGCCCTCCCCCACAGGGCCCCTCAGACTCACCAACCTCAGACTTGGTTTCTCAGTCCAGCACAGGAACTCTGAGTTCCACCTCCTTTCCTCAGAACTCTAGGTCGTCATTGCCATCAGACTTACGGACTATCAGTCTGTCCAATGCTGGTCAGTCAGCTGCCTACCAGGCCTCCAGGGTATCTGCGGTTTCCAATTCACAGCACTACCCACACCGTGGGAGTGGGGGTGTGCACCAGTATCGACTCCAACCACTGCAAGGGTCAGGAGTCAAGACTCAGACAGGACTTTCCTAGGGCTTCTGGATTTGGGCAAATAGAACTGAATGAGCCCATAGCTGCTTCCTTCCAGCTGCCTCTGGATCCTAGGCCGAGCATATTGCTGGGGAAGGGAGGTACACGGTGCCAGAGGACTGGGTCTGGTCAACAAGAAACAAGACTTGTGGTCGCGACTGGCCTCTGGCCTTGGAGAAAGACGTAAATCTTGTCTGAAGCAGAGACTATAAAGAAGTTTCTCCCTGCTGTTAAGGGTACATTGTTGACGAGCAAATGGTGTTTTGGTTAGTAACGGTTCTAAGTGCAATGAGTTGTGTTGAAGCCTCCATCTCCCAACCTTGCCCGTAGCCTGTAGTCACTTGTGCAGTGAAGGCATCTTTTTAAATTAAAAAAAAAAAAAAAAAATCTTTTCAAAGGAAAAAAGTGAAAAGAACCAGTTTCAAAGTCCCAAGCCATCTGAGTAGTGTTAGGGTTTTATGCACTTACAGAAAAAGGTAGGTATGTAAATGTTCACCCTCAGACAACCATTCCAAAAGGAGATATCTGGCCACAGTGTGTCCACCAAGAATATTCCCTATCTTTGTCTTAAAATAACCAAGAAATGTGAAGCTTGGAATGTGCTCTGATTGAAGGGTACCTGGCTTTCTGAAGAAGAGCTGACGGTCAACTCTTGATAATTCAGGAGCAAATTATCCTGGTAGATTGTCTGAGCCTCCAGCTGTTAACCATCCCACTCCTCCCTTCTCGAGCTATTCTACAGCTCAGTAACCCATAAACTAGGTAGACAAAGAAAAGATGAATGATAAGTGAGATGGGCCAAATGCATTGCTACTTACCAACCTTTGGCAATAAATTTGATTAGGAAGGATCCCAAGTGGTTTGGGAAATGAGTTTTATTTTTTCTACTCCCAATTAATCAGGAGTTGATAACCATGAGTAGGACTGCTTCCATGATTGGGGAGCATGCGCTTGTGACTGCAGGGTAAGAATGGAAAAATGTTTGTGGAGTGGCACCGACAGGACTGCGATTGTGTGTGGGCATGTCCCACATTTTTGGGGGGATGTTTGCTCTTCCTTATTAGAGAGTGGGCAAGGTGAGAGTTATAAAGCCACCCACACACCTAACACTGTTCTGGATGAGAGATGAGAACAGATTGGCTTCTCCCCATCAGTGCATTGTGCCTGTTGTACACCCCTGGAGGAGCCCTGGAGCCAGTCCAGGTGGGGTACACAATCTTTTTAAATTCCATACGGTTGCCAGCTTATTTCTTTCACTTGTTTACTGTAATATCCGGCGTGTTTTTATTTATCTAATTTTGTATTCAGTTATAACCATGGTAGGGGTAGTGAATATATGACAGGTGTAATCCCTGGTGCTGCAGTGGACCTTACTTCTTTTCTTTTGGACAAGATAATACTGTGAGTCTCCCCCCTTCCTTCCCTCTAATTTTTTTCCTCCTCCTTTTTTTCCCCCCATTCTCTTGAATCCCCTTCCTTTCTACCCTCTCCTACAACTATCATATGCACAGTCTTCTCTCTTCGTGTGTGACTGTTACAAAATTTCACTTTTCAAAACTGAAATCAGGTGTTTGCTCAAACGAGGGGAGATTTTTTTTTTTTTTTTTTTTATGCTGAGACCTCAGCACTTTCTTTTTGTTGTTTCCCCCACAAACCCATCAGTCTGGGAGAGCGTTGGGAGTGGAAATCATGTTGCCTGGGATGCTGGTTTCTTTGTATATTATATAAAACGTATGTAAATGTCTCTCCATTTGGGCTGGGGTTTGCATTCTCCCTTTGGCCCTTAACCAAGGGGAGAGGCCAGCGGGCAGGCGGCCCTCACCCTGCCTGGCACGTGCAGAGACCCCAGCCACTCTGTGTGGGCAGGGTGCTGTCAAGACCAGACCTCTTGGGGGGGGGGAGGCGGGGGGGTACTCTTGGAAGGGAAGAAGTATCACTTCTTTCTCAAGTGGAGTGTTTACACCTTGCTGTAACATTTGAACTTTCACAAGAGATGTAATAATTTTGATAATAAAATTCTTAACCATAATAATCAGAAAGTTGAGAACTTCTTTGTCTAATTCCGTGACCTTATCTTGCCTGGTTTTCCTAATGCTGTTCTCACCAGGAGAGGGCAAAATGGACCCATATTCAAGAGAATGCTCTTAATGGGGGTTGTTTCTCCATAACGGGGCCAAGAATACTGATTAATCCGCCTTCAGCCTTGTATGATTAATGTCAGGTCAGTCTTAAGTCTGCAGCGGTGTAGCTGAGCATTGAAAATTGACTTGAACAAGACTAGATTTCCTGGCCTTGGCGTCATTCTTTCAGTGCCAGGCATTGTTTTTGGTGCTGGGCTTACGCCGATTAACATGCGCAGATAAGGTTCCTGCTCTCGTGGAGCTTACATTCTTGAGGTGGGAGGTACTAAATCAGTACCTTGTTATTGTTTCATAGCAGATATGTGACTGGGGAGGTTGAAGGGGCCACTCTAGGTTAGTTGATCAGGGGAAGTCTCTGGGGAGTTGAATTTGAACTGAGACCTGAGTGATGAGGCAGTCATGTAACGTGAGCATAGAGCATTCCTGGACAGTTAGAACATCAGGTGCAAAGACTCTAAGGTGGAAAAGCCTTGGTTGGAGTATGGTGAATGAACGCGGGGAGGGTGGGGATGGTAGAGGATGCAGTAAGAGAGAAAAATAGGCTTCAAATTTTGTAGAGCAGGGGTCAGCAAATTTTTTCTGTTAAGGGCCCAGATAATAAATATTTATGGTCTCCATCACAACTATTGAATTCTGTCATTGTAGTACAGAAGCAGCCATAGACAATATGTGGCTGTGTTCAATAAAACTTTAATTATAGAAACTGGTGGGTTAGATTTGACCTGCAAGCTATATAGTTTGACCTCTGATATAGATCCTTGTAACTGTAGTTTAAAGACTGTGGATTCTAACTGCAGTGTGGGAGCGGTTGGAGGATTATAAGTATAGAAGTGACATGGTCTTAATTTATGGTTGTATGAGTGTTTTGATCCTGTTGGGGAAGAGATGATAGAAACCAAGAAGACAGTTTGGAAGTTGTTCAGGCAAGCAACAATGGTGGCTTGTATTAAGATGATAATAATTGAGATAAGGAGAAGTAGTTGAAATCAGGATATGTTTTGCAAGTAAACAGCAGGCCTTGATGGATTGGATTGGCAGTATTTTGCTCTAATATTTGCTTGATAAATATTTATTTACTGAGTACTTCTAATGGATTTTGCTAAGCACATAAGGGATTCAAAGATGGAGAATGTATTCTTTTCTTTAAGGAGCTTAGAAAGTGACCAGTTGGAAACAACAAAAAAGCCTGCCTTCATAGAGGACCCCTTTAAGATGCCATAGAAACACCTAGGTAATCTATCACCAGCCACAGCCTAATTCTGCCAAGAGTAGGACAAGAATAGTGTAGATGGTGCTCTTTATTTGGTCTGATAATTTCTTGAAGAATGCATACTGGATGCTAGAATTTAAAGATGAGAAATTGAGGCCTAGTCCAACTGTTCCAGCTATACCACAGGCCTGATAAATGAATAGGTCTGATTTCTGCCAGGATTAGAAGGTTCTGTTCCGTAATCATTTACTGAACACATACTGTGTTCTAGGCTATATACAAGGTGCTAGGAGTATGGAGGTGAGTGAGCCAGTTAGCTGCCCACTAGGAATTAGTAGTCTATAAGCTATTGTTTATCAATCATTTACTCTATCTCTAGGTACTTTGTTTTTGGTATGGTATAAATATAAAAAGCTGAACAGTATTAAGGAAGTAAACAGGCAATGGTGGCACCTTATATATCACTTTAAGGTTTACCAGCCTCTTCCATTTGTCATTTGCTGTCTTGTTCAAACTTAATATGAAATGAAGGTATTATCCTCATAATTTCTTTTTAAAAAGGGGGGAAAAAATCAGAGGATGAAACTTGTCCAAGACGTCTCTCTAGTAAGTGGCTGACCCATGCTAACAGTTTTGGAAAGTTTGAAATAACCCTGGAAACGCTTAGAGACATCTGGGGTGCTGTAATGGGAAATACTTCATCTAACTGAAAAAGTATGCCATACCCTAGACTAACCTAAAAACAGCAGTTTTGCATTTTTGGCTCAGCTTAAAAAAAAAACCCACAGTTATCCAAGTAGAGTAGGCCATTTGGTTTAAACTGCAGTGGTCATCAATTCATCGTCCAAAGCAGGGGCAGCCTCCATAACCTACTGTAAGGCTTAAAAAGGTAAAGGGATTTGCCAGAGTTTCTTAAGATACTCTGTGCTAAAGATTGACAAAGGAAACAGTGTTCCCTATAACTTTGACCTGCTCCTAGAGTCTGAAAAAAGTTGTTTTGACTGTTTCTCAAATCCCCCCATAAAAACAGAGCAACCATGATAGAAAGACCAAAAAGCCTTGAACGGCTTGACAACAAAGCTAGGTGAAAAGTTATCCTTGTGAACCTCAAAACAAAAAGTAGGTAACCACAATAGCCGTAAGAACTGCAGGATTTCACCTTGTTCTGGGGGAAGCAATGGGGCATCTGATGAACCTCAGAATCCCAAAATATCAAGCACTCAGTAGCTCAGCAAGTCAGTTTAAGAACATCTGCTGACACGGGGGAAGAGGAGATACAGTGAGTACAAATGATCTTATCCTTGGTCAGGTCTGAATGGACTAGAGCAGTCTGGGCCCAAGAAACTTAATTCTAACCAGCAAGGGTCCATTCCAGAGCAAAACCACACTGAAAAGAAACTGGGAAATAGAATCCAAATTGAGCAGGACAATCAAAATAGAGGTGAAGGAAAAGTAATCACATTAAGTAAAGTGTTTTGAAAAAGAGTAAAATTAGGATTGTCCCATAAAATCTAGGATGTGTTGTCCTTATGGAGCCCTGGTGGCACAGTGGTTAAGAGTTCAGCTGCTAACAAATAGGTTGGCAATTTGAATCCACCAGCCACTCCTTGGAAACCCCATGGGGCAGTTCTGTCCTGTAGGGTCACTATGAGTCGGAATCGACTCGATGGCCAAGGGATTTGGGTTTTTTTGGTTTTGTTTTATTGTCCTCATGGAACAATATAAGTATATTAAATAACTTGTCTTGTTTAACTCCTGAGGGAAATGATTTGTCATAAAGTTCTAAGCGTATTCTGTGCTGAATTTAAACAATAGCTATGTTTCTCACAGCTTGTATTTTAGTATTTTACCCAAACTAGTATTCTAAAATGAAATTATAATAAATCATCCCTCCTCTTAAAGATTAGAAAAACTACATGTAAAAAAAAGCAACAGAAAAGGCTCAAAGTCAAATCCCCAAGAGTTATAAGAAAAAATTAGGAGCAGAATAACATCCCTATAGACAATAAAAGTATGCCAAGAAGTCATGCAGATTT